CATGAAAGCTGGAACGCCCACTAGTGGGCGGTAGGGACCAGGTTGACTACCACTGCTCTATATTATCCCAATATTAAACCTATAAACCAAATTAATGTGGGAGGTAATGGCTGGGTTTATAGGGTCTAAGCCATAATACGTAGGACATTTTGATTTGTTTGTTTGGTATGGCTTGGGCTTACCATATAGTGTAAACCTTGCTTTAGATCTGAATTTCCCAAGTTCAAGTAAATTATTCAGACCTGCAGATTCTCTCCTGTGATGGCTGTGCTGGACCTTTCAACATTTTCCTCCATTGGTAACTCTGCCTAGGGTTGCCTCACCTTCTGTAGTACTGGTTGAAAATGAACAACTCTATGCTTATATTTATTAATACCCCATAGGGTATTAAATTTCACAAGTGTGATAAAATGCTTTTTTTTCTACAAGTAAATAAAGTTTATTCCCATTTGGTAGGTAGCAGTTTAACTCCTTTTATTTAAAGAGATTAATTCCCATACTTTAACATCACGAAACAGGATCTAATGTTTCACTGTTGAATATATTAACTGATATAAAGCACATGAAATAGTTTAAAATATCAGTGAAATCAACAGTGTCTTTTCAGATAAAGTTTATGCTGTACACCGAAGTGAATAAAAACTTGTTCTTTTTAAATTGCAAGAAACACCCACAAAGTTCAGGGAGGTTAGGTTTTGCCCAAAATACTTTCCCAACACATAAAGTAAACAAGCATAAAAAGGAAGAACTTTGTTTCTTTTCTCTATAGTCAATTATTTCCCTCTTTTACAGCATTTGTTACAAAAAGAAATCACCTCTTTAAAATGATGTGTTAGCTGCAAGTTTAGTTGTTATTTTTAAAAACTGGAAAGGAAGATTTTAATTTTAAGCGAAGATACAAATTTAATTCAAAATAAATTAAATAAGCCTCAATGGGATTGTGCTGTTACTTTATACTTTAAAATGAAAGAAATAAAAAAGCACAGGAGGGAAAATGTGTGTAGGTTCATTATGCTGAATCAGAACACAAGCAAGCCAAAGTGATGAACTCATTTATTTTTCCCTTGAGGAATCAAATAAGAGACGGGAAGTCATTGACTCATAAATAAGATCATTCATTCCACAAATGTAAACAGCATTTATTGTGCCAGCAAATATTTCTGTAGTCCTTTGCCTTCTGGAAAAATGTAAAGCAAATAATTTTTGGAAATTAAAACTAAAAAAAACTCTTTACAATAATGGAAATCAGAATGTTATATGAGCAATGCAATAGTTGTGATCTACACAGAAATTGAAAGTAACTGACAATTTTGTTATTTAACAATTGACATTTTTATATTTATATTACATTCTAAAAATAATTAAAAAATAATTAAAAGGAAAACAAAAATTGAGAAGAGAGAATTGATCATCTTTAAGTTGTATCAGCAAAATTAGTTTAGATTTTATTTTTAATCATCATGCACTATAACATTTCAGAGATTTTGCTATATTATTTGTGGTCAATTATTTGATTTAATATACAGTTTAAATATCTAAACATTAAAATTTATTATTTATAAAATATTAAAATATAAAATTATATATCATATATTAAAATAACTTATAGGTTTTAGCTTCTATGCTTTGTTTTAAATTATATAAAGTGTGCTTTAATATTGTGTGATTTGCCAGATAAAATAGAAATGCATTTTTTTAAAAATAATTAGTTGAACCGAAAACATAATGCTTTATGACATAATTCTTTACATTTCTAGTTAAATAAAACCCATTTATCTGGCTTGAACCGACTAAGTGTGTATGATTGCTGCCTTATATCTTTAACCTATTTCTTAACTTCTTAAGTTTCTGAGTCACTGAGATGTTCTATAAATTGTTCCTATAACAGATTTCTTAATTTTAAAAAAAGGAAAAATGATTTGCATTTAAACAGTATGGTGTATAATTAATCTTCATCCATGAATTGCTGTATTATTGTAATATAAATGAGTTCATGTTAACTTGACATTTTACAATAAGAATTGGGATTAATTTTTTCTTGATATCATGAATGTACAATTTGGCAAACATTGCACTCATCATAACTTTGTAGTATGCATAAAGACATAATCTTATGCTAAGTATTGAAGTAATAAAAACATACTTATTTGACAATTAAAATACTTTTAATTTGTACAATACATTCAAATGTATGTATATTAACAGTTAAAATCTTATTGAATATTTCCCTTTTTTTCAAAGCCTAAATATGGCAGACTTCCTAGAGCCAGAAAGGATAATAAACTGGAAGGAAAGATGCATGGTTATGGAATCTCAACTAATGAAGTTTCACCTTCAAGCCAGCAAAATTAGAGAACTGCTTGCAGAGAAGGTAAGTGTTAGAAAATCCAATGTAATTTGTTGTATAGTTCAGCAATATAGATTGCTTAATACTACCTATTCACTAATTACATTTCATAGCTACCTATTGACTAATTACAATAGATACTTTTTGCTTAATTAGCTTAATCTGGCAATGGTGATCACTAGACATGTATGTATGCTTTTATCCATCATAGGAAAACATACATGTCTAAAAATGCTTCTCTAGATCTATTTTCTATTTTCAATATTTATATGTCACCATACATTTGTACATGCAGTACATGTAAGGGTGGGTAAAAGAATCTAAGGTCATCCTCAATATAAAAATATGACCTTTCCTTATTTCAAAATAATCATTTTTGGAAGGCAAACAGATTGCCTTCTTCAATAAACACTCAGAATAGTGTTTGAACATGCTCCCCTGCACTCTTTTGAATAGCCAAATATTAATTAATTAATTGAGAGGTTTTATAGAAGTTACATATGTTGTTTATTAAATCAAGGAGTCTGGACATAAGGGTGGTGAGTCAGTGATCTTGAAAGCAAAGAGATTGATGAGTCATTGACCGTTTGTACTACCTGTAGTATTTCCTTTCTGTGGAAACTGGATATTATGGAGATAGAATATATGGAAATGATAAATCTGACTCATCAGTTACATATATAGCAGGAACAAAGAACATCAGTGTATGTAAATACTATTTTTTAAGAAGACACATATAAAAATGCAGAGCACATTCTGGCACAACTGGTTATGCCTACATTTTCAGCTAGAGTTGGATTGGATTATTACATATATATCTAACTGGTTGCCCTAACAGGGCATGCTTAAAATACACGTTATATGTTTGCAAATAATCACTATATTTACTTTAAAGCAACTTTTTGTAGAGAAAAGGGCATGAATTTGCAATAACTGTCTTGAAAAAAATGCCTGAAAAATATGTTTTGCTGTAAGATTAGGTTCTAATATTAAATGAGGAAAGGTTATTCTTGTGAATAAACATATACATTAAGAAAAAAAAAGAATGAAAGGAAGTAAGTAATAAAGCTGCAGGTCAAGCATTGAATGAAAGGAGAAAAAGTAGATATACCACATCTGTATTCTATATACAACACTTTGCTGAATTAACGTTGAATGTTATTCAATGTTGGTAATAGCATAGTATCCTTCAGACAGCATCCTTGTTTAGGGAGCAGGATATATATGTTAACAGAGCTCTATTCTCCAATGAAAGCAATACAGTTGTAGGGGGGGTGGTGCTACAGAATTGAGATAAGTGAGCAGCATCAATTTGTAATAAATGTGATTCTTTTGAAACAATAAACAGTTTCAAATAGTTTACCTATTCATGAACAGTGTGGTTGTTCATTAGGATTTGTTCAATATATCCTGTCCCATAGAAACAGTTTTATGTAGTCGTTTGAACTATAGTGGTGGATCTATTACTGTTCCGGTCTGATGGGATTTTTGGGGAGAATTACTGTTGTAACCAGGGGCCATAGAAAACCAGCAAAAGATTATAAAGAAAATAAAGCTGCCATATAGCTTCAAAAATAATCTAAATATTTATTACAAGAAAACTCATGATCTGTCTACATATAGATTACATTAAAAAAAAAAAAAAAAGATAAGCCACCCGGAGTCCTCCGGGAGTGGGCGGCATACAAGACTAATAAACTACAACTACTACTACTACTACAAGCCTTTTCTTGGCTACTCATTAAAATGAATAAGCTGATTAAGGCTGTAAAAATGCATCTAAGTGAATCAAATCTAAATCAGACACAGGCTTTAGAATATGATTTTTTTTTCTTAATTCAGGACAAACAGACATTAAAACCTTAATTAGAGTTTCCTCAAAATAAGCATACACATTAAAACAAAATCCTTATGATTTCTCTCTGCTGCCTTTTTTGTCATTTTTATCAATAATTTGCTATCTAATTTTTGCATAACTTTGTTTTCTTTGAAAGAAAGGTAATATTCTCCATTTATTCATTTACTTCATATATTTATGCTATCCAGGTTAATCTTATTAAGCAGTTTAATACGTATGTTTTCCTAAATTGTCAGAAATGGATCATGAACATCTGATAATCTGGAGAGGTATAAAAACTAAGTGAATGCCTTATGTCACAAGCACGCTTTTCTTCTTTCTTTTTCCACTTGGCAAGTTATGTATTTTGCTTCATAGTTTTGACATGTGAGATGTTTAATAGTACATCAATGTGGCCCTGAGAATGGGACAAAGAAATATAAAATAATAGTAGGTCCTGGCAACTGGCTCTTTTTTTTTATTTTGTCATATCAGAGCATACTTTAAAAAATGAAATGCAAAGGAAAATATTTTTTAAATATCTAAGCAGAAGTTGTGACGTTTTAAATGGAAGAATTCAGGGTAGAATTTAGGAAATGGTTTTAGTATAACTTGTTCAGATTGTTCATGGAGTTCAAATCGCTTCATTTTATTAATGTTGAGTTTCATCCAACGTGTTACAGATAAAAAGAAAATATTCTGCTTAAGGAAATGTCTGAATTGACATTTGGCACTTAACAATAGAAATATACATCACTTGTGTATTTTAATACTAAATATTTTTCAGTTCATCAACCACATACAATAATAAAATGGCAGCACCACCTTTTATGTTGTTGTATTGCTGACATAAGTAAATAATAATTTGGGTCTAGCTAGCCTAGGTGTTTTGAATTTTCAGCTTTCATCAACCAAGGGATTGGGGGATTTGGCTCCAAAATATCAGAGGCATCAGGTTGCTTAGTAGAGCTAAGTATTAGAACAAGTAACATGCAAGATTCTTTAGTGTTCAAATGTAAAGAAGCAATCCATGAGGGAATGCTCAAGAAGTTGAAACAAACAACAAACAATTTATAGTAAGAATTTTCTTTAGCAGTTTTATCTACTTTTGCTATATCATGCAAAATTAATAAATTCTAACATGAAGAAAAGTATAGTTTGTATAAGGAATCATAGACAATATTTATTTGTCAACCAAAGTTGAATAAGTTTTGACTTCCAGGGGAGGAAGGGAAAATTGAAGATGTCTCCACAAAAGCAGATCTGATGACTGAGGCAAAGATCAAGAACTGGTGAGGAAACCAGTTCTCCAGAATTTATCCAGATAAGGAGAGGATGGGAAACTTCAGGGCAGCCATATTCTGTGGTTTAAGCACCAGAAAATGAAGGAATCGGGTAGGCTGCTACGGGTTCGCTCGGGTTCGGGAGAACCTGTGGCTAATGTTATGGCAAGTTTGGAAAACCTCCATATCCCACCCCTGGCTGGCCCCACTCTTCTGTGCCCTTCGCTGCACAGAAGTCTCCATGCAGCCAGTTTTGGGCCATGCAGATGCTCATGAAGGGGGAAAAATAGGCCTCCTGGAAGTTCCGGAAGACCGGAAAGGGGCCAATTTCTGGCCTCAAGAGGACCTTTGGAGCCCGGGGGAGGCAGTGTTCACCCTCCCAGAGGCTCAAGGAAAGCCTCCAGACCCTGGGGAATGCGAAAACACACACACACACACACACACAGACACACACACCATCATGTTGCAGGAGGCCGGCTAGGTCACGCCCACCATGGCCATGGCCATGCCCACCAACAACTGGGCAGAGAACCCATTGCTGAAATTTTTAAAGCCCATCCCTGGAAGGAATTAATCATTTCTTATAACCACAATAGAGCCTTTCAAAGGACAGTAGGTTTGCAAACCTCACTTTCAGAAATTAACTATTAACTATTTTAAAGTTATCAAAGGTCTTCAGAAGGACAAGTTTGAAAAGTCACCAGGTGAGTTTAGCTTCAGCTGTGAACAAAAGAAAAAGTAATTACAAACTTTAAAAGTTACAGAAACTGTAAATTCAAGTATGGCAAAAAGCTAAATAAGATTTAGATCTAAGGAAATTACAAATGGATTAAGGATCCAGTTAAATTTGGAATATTAACATTTACTCTAAGGTTTTTGAAGTAATTATACATAAATAGCTTCTCATGGAAAACAGACTTAGTTTTCTTGGCTTTTAACAAATATAAGCAACTTTATGATTTTAGAAACATGAGGGGACTAGATTCTAAGTACAAGGAAAAAAATACAAGGCCAACTTTTTTTTGGGGGGGGGGGGGCTGTTAGCTGGGATTTACAAAATAACCCAAAATGTTCTAACATTGGAAATATTAAATTATATCTTTGAAGAATGAAGCAAGAAATATTGTAGCTACAATATCAACTATAATGCCTGAGTAAAATATGTCCAAATGCTGTCAATGAGAGAATGACAGATGTTGTGCAAATTTTGTCTACCAAAAGTAGAAGTACAAATGACAGACCAAGAGAATGAGTTGGAAAATGACTTTTTATTGGATATACAAAAGAAACTGGCTGAAATGTTAAAAATTTAAAGGGAAATGCAAATGAAAAACCAAGAGAATGACCTGGAAAAAAATCTTATTGGAGCTACAAAAAGTTTGTTGAACCCTTGAAAAATTCTGAGCAATGGAATAAGGAAAAATTAAAACAAATCAAATACTATGATAGTATTTGAATGACCTAAACTAAAAATCTGTTAGAAGTATATTAAGAAGAAATTTAAAATTGCTTCATTTGATCAAGGTTAAAATAAGACTTATTTTCAAAGTTCTGGCAACCTTTTACAGAATTTTTGCTGACACCAGAATTGAAAAATTATTGTTTTATGGATTTTCTTATAATAATGGATGGGATATGAATTGAAAAGATATCTCTTTGTAACCTTACAGCCAGTAAATTTGTCTATACTTGTTGTAATGAAGATTAGAAGTCATGTCTGTTTTATAAAATATTATTTCTCTCTTTTTATTTTTTCCTGCACTTTTTATTCTTTCTTTTTTAAAAAAAAAATTAGTTTGTGTTAGTTATTTACAATTTCTATAAAAATCCTTAATAAAAAGTTATATACAAAGTTGAATAGGATTTTAGATGTTCCCCAAAGAGGATTAATAGTAGAATAAATG